TGGATTCCTCACTTTTGTGGATTGGAAGGTGCATTACAGATTAATTCTGTTCCTCAGCCACTTTCCAGAGACAGCACTGAAACTTCTATATGGAACTTTTTTTTTTTTTAAGTATTAGAATCCTGCTTCAAATTTGTTATTTTCTGCACCATTTGTTTTTCTTTATAGCTGTAGTGAGGGGAACATGAGAACAATACTTAGGAAAGCTCTTTGGAGAGTTAAAGCATGAAAACCCTTTCGTACCAGTGGACTCTATATTTCTTAATCAAATTTCATTTTACTTGCATTTCTACAGCTAAAGATAAAATACAATGGACGAAGATATGAGCCACAAGCCATATTCTTCACATTCTCCAATTCTTAATTCTAGAACTATTGTTCAGAGATGTGATCCCTGCTACCACATTAATAAACTGTCCTGCAAAGAAAAAAGGAGTTATGTTAGCCTTGTTAGAGCCCTGATATAAGGAGCTCTCTAGAGTGAGAAACGGAACATAAAATATTGGTACGTTTGGGAGCTTTGTGGAGGAAAATGGTGCAATTTTATTATGCCTTGGAGTTCCTGTAAATGAAATAAAGCAATGGAAACAGTCCAAAAGCACAGCAAACCATCTGTCTTTCTCTCATGTCAGAGTTTCTTTTAAGGCTTTGGTGGGGTCTGTTTCTGTCAGCTAGTCTGACATGCTTAAAGAGGTTAGAGAACCCTCCTCTTTTAATTATTTATCAAACCTGTAAGTACTTGAATTACAGGATGGGCTGATCTGTCTGGAAAACCTTACGATGTTGCTTATTTAGGAGAAGAAGCTGTGTAGGGTATTTGTTCAGTGGACTTCTGACATGAGGAATGACCCTACTTTTTTGCGTACAGGAAAAACCAACTTGAGACTTTTCCTTTGCCTGATGTATTTCAAACATGTCTTTCCGGTGAATTCTGTATCACGTAGAGAATTCTTTCTACAGTCTGTATTTCCTATAGGTCTTCTCACTTCCCCTGCTTGCTGCCTCTTGCTTACAGGTGCAACAAGCCAGTTCCTTGAAAACCAGTCCATAATAAAGACAGCCTTTCATTTGCCTCTTAAAGCTTCAACAGTTATTACATAAAGGAATCTTAATTGGTCCATTGCTATAACTTGAACGAAGAAGGCGTAGGTCTCCCATCTGGGATAGCCATGCTTGAAATCTGAGGTAGACTGTACCCTTACTTCATGAGAACAGGTTTTAACATAATAATATTCAGGCTTGATTAAAGGCTGTTGTTTTCTGCTGAAATCCACGCCTCTATGAGGACAATGGTGAATTAGTCACAATGTTAAATATGTTTCATTTGGAGTCTGAATTTGTTTAGCTTTAGTGTTGCACTTACAGGATTATCCGTCGTGAGGCTTTAGTAGGAGAGCTAGAGGATTCTGCTAAATTCAAATCGTAGAATCATTTAAATTGGAAAAGGCCTTCAAGATAATCAAGTCCAACCATCAACTTGACCTTCCAAGTCCCATCACTAAACCGCGTGTTTTCGTGACGCACCCACACATCTCCGTACCTCCAAGGACAGGGATTCCACCACTTCCTTAGGCAGCCTGTGCCAATACTTGCCCACCCTCTCCATGAAGAAATTCTCCTGATATCCAGCCTAAACTTCCCCTGGCACAGCTTGAGACTGCTTCTTCATGTCCTACCACTTGTCACCTGAAAAAAAGAGACCAACATCCTCCCTGCTGCAGCCTCCTTTCAGGTAGTTGTAGAGAGCAGTGACCTCTCCCCTCAGCCTCCTCTTCTTCAGGCTAACCAAGTCCAGTTCCTTCATTAGCTCCTCATAACTCTTGTTTTCTAGTTCCTTCACCAGCTTTGTTGCTCTGCTCTGCACGTACTCAAGCCACTCAATATCCTTCTTGGGGATGTTGTGAGGAGCCCAGAATTTAGCAAAGGGATCAGTGGGCAGGGTGTTGTATAGTCTTCTCTGTCCCAGTGGTTGGAAAGAGGAAGATTATGACAGGCTACTTCAATATTTTCAGTTCTTATTTGTCAAAGGTAAATGGGTGATTTTTTATTTATTTAATTATTTATATATTTTTTTAACTATGTTGTTGTAGCTATGGAAATGCTGGTTATTTTTCCTGTTCCTACTGGATATTGAATTCCACTCACTGCACGTAAATCAGTCAAACAGAACAGAGCGTAGCGAAAAGCGCAGTGGTTTTGTGTGGGCATGTCCATCGGAAGGCTTCCCGTTTGAAGCCTGCAGCTGTGTTAGCACAGTGCTTGCATTCCTTAGTGATGAGCTGTGGAGTGAACCCTTGCACAGCCTTTTCTGGCAAGGTTTGTAACAACACCAATTTCACTGTGGTGGTTAGAAAAAAAGTTGGAATGGAGGTGGGGAAAGAAAGTTCTTTTGCTTGGTTACTGTGTTATACTTTTCTGATGACTAAGTGCTGGAGGGAATGTTGCAGGAGTAAATAATTGTGTAACAATTTTAGCTACTATTTATAGTATCCCAGTGCTCTTGTTTTTGTTTTGTTTTGTTTTTATTATTTTATTTTATTTTATTTTGATCCTTATGTAAATCCTTACGTTTTTTAATGGAGAAGATTGAAGGCTGCTCATTTTGTTGCCTGCTATAAGGTGATTTAAGTCTGTGTTTAATAGTAAATAGTAAAAAAGAACGCTCTCTTGTCTTTTGTTTTCTAAAGTTTTGTGACCTGTTAAAATCTTTATGTATTTAAACCCCTTTAGAGTCTCAATTAAGTGGCCAAAGGTGAGGGGTTATGTAGTCTGCATCATGGTCCTTCCTCTTCCAATAGTCTTCAGACCTGTCTTTGAAGTTACATAACTTTATTCCAATGTGGGTAGAAAATAAATTAAAAATACAAAGTAAATAATATTAATTGAGGATGTCCGCAAGTCTCATGTGCAAGAGTATTCCAGTGTTTTATTGTTATACAGGTAAAAATGAAAACTTAGAACCTTGTTTTTATAAGTAGTGCTGCTTGTTTTTGTGAAGAAGAGACTCAAATTGCTATGGGCTTATTTTCTGTTAGGAAAAGCAATAAAAATACAGACAGTCATTTGTATCAATGCAGTACAACTTCGTATCTGTTTCTAATTTTATATAAGAATATGTCCACATATTAGTAAAAATTGATGGGAACTATATTGATTGCTTTATGACAAACTTCACAGAATTTAACTGATGTCATCCATATTTTAAGACAGTTGGCATATAAAAAGAAAGATTTTTAATTTTCTTTTTCTTGTTTTTTTCCTTCAAGCATCTTTTCTGGTTATGCCAAAAGTGGCCTTTTCCATCACATATGCTTTAAATAAAAAACATTTCATATTTTTTGTTGTAGTTTCATGTGGCAACTAATATATCTCTCTGCATTCAATAGATATGTCTCTGTTTCTTTTCAAATTGTGGCTGTTTTGAGATGGAGATGAGTGTATTACTGTAAATATTGCTGTGGGGACACTCAGTAGCTCTCCATCACTCTTCAAGAAAGACATCAATTTTTCCAGCCCCTCCACATTGCATTTGAATTCAAGGTGCTAGCTATTACTGGCTTGAATGAGGAGTAAGGTCAGTTTTTATAATCAAGGTGTTTCCAGGGTCCTAGAGCCATTATGTGATGGTATGTAAAATACATAAAGAAAAAAAATATCTAGAAATCAGGAAAACTGCAAAGTAAAAAACAGTGGGATTGGTAACTTCTTGTAAAATACCTTTAGTTGGGCAGTAAGCATCAGCTTTAGGGTACATAAGCTGTTGTTTATGGTGTGCTCATACAAAACTTCTTTCTCTGCACGTTTCTGCCTTCCAGAACAGGACCAATGTTGGTCAGGGTAGTCTGTCTGTAAGGACTTCAGCCTCATTTGACTTAACTTCCTCGCTTGCCTGGAAGTTGAGTCAAATGTGGATTCTCTATGGGTTAAGCAGACTGAGGCTTTTCTACTTGTTAGCACTATGCACATCCATACTTCATGTTTGCATACTTTTTTTTTTTTTGCATACTTTTACAAACACACATGCGTTTTTTGCATACTTTTGCAAACACACACATGCCATTTCTTTCTCTGATTTTTCCTTTTTGAAGTTACATTCAGCACTGTCTGCCAGCTTGTGACTTCACATCACTGGTCATTTCTGTGTACCTAGACCAGACAAAATTTCCTGTTTAAATTTCAATGTTGGTTAGTCCTACTTTTCTGCATACCATAAAAAATACATAATGCCTATCTGTTTCTTGTAGTAAGTGACTTTTTCCTGCAGTATTAAAGTTGTCTCACTTCAAGAGACATCTTCGTCAAAGCTGTGTAGGAGGAAAGCACACAACTGTGGTAGGCAGAATATGTGCTTGTCAGTTAACTTTTTTTCTTTGTAGGGTTAACTGCTCTAAACTGCAGTTTATGTAATAATTCATTATCCTACAAAAGGAAAAGTTTCTATATGAAACACAACTTAGAAACAAAACCCAAAGTTCTTATGAAAATTGGTTATAAAATAAGTAGGGAAATTACTTTTTCTTTTGTCTGTGGGAATTAATTTCAGGTGTTGTATACATTTACAGGTGTTAACAGTAGCTCTAGGAAGTCTGGTAGGAGAAGTAAATAATACAGGGTTGACCCAAGACAAAGCCTCAACTTTTTGATTTAGTTTGGAATTGGGTATTTTATGAAGGATAAAGGACTATACTGAATTGTCTTGTCTCAAAGCCCACCTCAGCAGTGGCTCGTTATCTGTCTATGAGTAATGAAGTTTCTTTTGGCTTACAAAATGTTTTCAGAACAGTTTACTAAAGTGACTAAATCTGGTCTTGTTTGTGACAGAACATGAAGTATGTTTCTTTTATAATGCCTGGTGGCTTGGCTTTTCTGTGGGATAGAAATTATGCTTTTCTTTTTTAAAAAAAAAAATCTCGACAGTTATGTTGCGGTCTATGAATGTCGTGTTCTTATAATGCAAACTATTTTCTAGTAATAATTGTTTGTATCTTTCACTTTCACAGCATTTTTGAGGATGAAGGCATGAAACTACGACAACTGAAACTAGAGAATCAGGTAAATGATTGTGCACAAGCTGGCAAATATAAGTACAGGAAAACAAACATTAGCTATCTCGTTGTGGGAAGGGAGGAGGTTAAAGTGCTTGTTTCCTTTTTCTCTTCCTTCCTCTCCCTCATTTTTCCTCTTGATTTCCCAGCCTGTTGTCATTTACTGTGTAATTTTTTGCTCAGAACTACATAAGGTGTACAGCAACAGTGAATCCTGTCCACATTCTTTAACTTGAGTTGCAATATGCAAGGTTTTATGTGAATTCACAGTGTCACAGAGACTTGAGAACTGGGAGTGAAGTGATTAAAAATGTTTAGTCTGAAGAATATAAACAGAACTGTTTTCTAACATTTTTCTTTAAAGATTCGCCTGGTTTTTGTTAGTCAACATTGCTATGGCTTGTAGGTTTGATTTCTTTGATACATTTACTTTTCCACATGTCCTTCTCTTTTCATTGGGATTGAGTCACCAAAAGGGAGGAATGAATAAAAAGGTTGGAAGACTGTAGGGAATGACCTCAAAGTGAAAGAGAAGTGTTCCCTAAGCTATAGAAAGATCTGCTTAATACTGTTGATGAAAGAGATTTCCAGCATATCTCTATTTCTTTTTTCATTTCCTAAAAATAAGTAACTAAATAAAATCAAATGCAGCCAAGCATTTATCAGATATTAGGATTTTTGTCTTAATTTTTAAAGCATGTGAGTGTTATTTGCTGGATGCCTTGATTAGCTACTCATGAAAGCAATGAAGTGTGCATCCTCTGAAATTTCAAATGCTACTCTATAGAAGTTTTGAAATTATTTTACTTATCTAGCTGCCTATTCCACATGAAACAGAAATCACCATATTACATTAAATTAATCTAGGTAGAACTTTAAAGTATGTTTTTTAGAAATGCTGTCTCTCAGCTGAGGATCTCTAAATCCAGACATAACACTCTTTGGGGAACTGATGTATTGGTTAGTAGCCCACTTTACCAAAACTTGTTTGTTAGTTCTAGTCTATTTAGCTTTGAATTCAGATGTTGGATTTTTTACCAACTTTATCTCAGTACATATGTAAGCTGTTACCTAAAACACTTCAGATCAGGGAGTAAAAATGATCTTTGGCCGTAACCATAGAAGCCACAATGATCCTTTTACCTATAAGCTTTTCAGTAATACTTATTGGAGAGAAAAACTAAAAAAGGCATTAGCTTAAGAGAAAGATCTTAGAAGTAATCTTAAAAAAAAAAAAAAAAAAAGAGGTACATAATGCCCAATGCCATTTAATAAGAAGTTTCCAGACTAAAGATGGTCGTTCTGCTTGGTGATGAACCTTGATGTCCATTTCAGGATTGTTGTCTTGGGTCATGAGCTGGCAGTGGCTACTGGCTCTTAGTGTTAGATACTGTGGTCAATGTATGCCAGTTTCAGACATTGCCATGGAGATACAGCACTGTTCCACCAAAACAAAGCTGCTGGGCTGGGTGGGATTTCCTTGGAGCAGCTGTCAGTTAAACTGTGAAGAATTGATTTTATAGAATTCATACGCTTTTGCAATTTTATTTCTGGCTTTTTGAATTTTATTGATTGCAAAAAAATGACAGCTAGAAAAGTTTTAGTAAAATGTATTTTAACACCCGAGCTCCACTGCAGCTTGCAATTGAGATTTGCTGAGAAATGCTAACAGTCTCTCATTTAGGATTGTATTTTTATGTTTCAATGTTAACTTTGAAAGTCTACTTCTATCTTTTACATGAGTAGTAAGTACCATGCTTTCTGAAGAAATGGCAAATCGGTATCAGAGACGATGGCCATTGCTGGTTGTAGCTGATAGCACACTTGATCAATTTCAAATGTTTGTAGGAACTGAGATAAAAATTACAGGATGTTTTTGCAAAATACAGTAGAATCATGTTTATCACCTTTGACCACACAAAGAATCTGGAATAAGCATTTGTCACAGCAAAGATTTGTGTTTCTCATCCATCTTTAAGAGGGATTTGGAAACCCTGTAATTGCAATGAAGTGTTATTTATAACAATGCTTGACATCAAGATCCATCTGTGGGCCAGGTCTGTCTGACAGGATGCTTTTGTCTAGACTACTGCCTTTTCCATGAGGAGAGAGTGGGTGACTTCTCAGACAGTGTTTACTTCCCCAGCAGTAGAACATGTTTCTTTTCAGGCACCTGAAGCTCAAAACTGTGGTGCTGCCACCTCTCCGTGGATGCAAAGGGTGAAGCTGAAGGCATATTTCTGAATGTGCTTAGTTTGGTATTATTGACACCAAGTTTTTCATTAATGCCATCATCACTAGCATTGTCCCTGGTGTCTCAGTATGAACTGAGGAGGAGCTGGAAGAGAGGAGAGGATGCCGCAGTGCTAGGTTCCATCCCATGTGGCCTGCTAAGGTGGGACCATGCCAAATAATAAATAGTATGATATTGCATCTTCAAGAGTGAAGTGGTTGAAGCCTTCTTGCATACAATCTTTCTGTTCATTGTACTGATAGGAAGAGTACCAAACTGCTTCTCTTATTAGTCTGATATGATGTATTCATCTGATGCATCTGACTTCTTAGGCAGCACATTGGAAACTCATTAGAACCAGAGTTGATGGTTTGTGATGGTTCAGTCATCCTCTGTCCTGATGTTGTGCTTTTCTATGGTGCAAAGAAAATGCTTCTGAAAATACTTAATATGTGGAGTTCACAAAATCCTGAATGAATCACAATACTTGGCGTCTGTTATTTATTTAATGGGTTAAATGTTCCTGTGTTCTGTTCATGAACTATCTGATTTTTTTATTTTTTTTTGTAATGCTATATGCATTTTTACTGTGACGCATAGCTGGAGGAAAAGGCCACTTAGTAGACAAAAGGAAACAAAATACAGCTTGTTTTTTTAGATTTCATCTTAGTGGAACAAGTCTAAGAGCACACAGTGCTGAAGGTAATGCTGCTTTGCCACCTTGTGCATGGAGAAGGAACTGCTGCTAACCATCCCTTCAATGAGCTTGTAGATTTTCATCTCAATAAGCAAAGCAGTAGAAACTAACCTTTTAAAAACAAATGAAGTTACTATCAAGATTCGTCACTTTGGTTGTCTTGAAGTTCTTGTGAAAAGAAGGTTGGTCACATATACCAGCAATAAAGTATATGTTTCAGTATGACCCTATTACCCTGTTAGATTGGTGAGTTCCCAGAAAGTCATTAATGAAGCAGAATTTACTATAATAAGAAAATAAATTTATAGATAGGTAAGTAGTAAATTATTATTATAAATTATTATTATTTTTTAAATGATCTAATAGAATAATTAGTTTAGTAACTCTAAAAATTATGATATCCCATACTGATCCCAATAATAGTTTCAAGCTATGTACTTTCTTACTGCCTTTAGAATGTGTTTGTTGTTGTTGTTGTTTTTTTCTAATTGTGTATTTGCCATGTAGAAAAGCCTCGGCAACAGTTTTTTCAATTTTTTATTTTAATTTTTTTATTCCAGTTTTTCCCGACTCCTTTTATGTCAACTATTACAGATTTAGAAAATATTACAGATGTATTTTTAATTTTCACTTAGCATTAATTTAAAATAATAATTTAAAAATACTTGAATTCTTCTGGACAATTTAACTATGCTTGTAGAGAAAATATTCTGACCTGTGATGACTGAGCATTTTCTAAGAATTTTACTTTACTGCTTGTTTTTCTTCCTTTTCTCTAGACCAGTCTGATAATCTCTTTGTAATTCTATGTATTTTTTGCTGTGCAGGACAATCCATGCAAATAATTTTGCAGTAATGAGTGGAACCTGTATTGCTATCTAGTCTTCAAAGTGAGATCACGAATTTAAAAAAGTACATATTTTGGAGAAAATAACTTGAAAAGTAGAAAGACAGAATAAAGGACCAAGTTGTGTTGGATCCTTTCAGGGGGAGGTTGCCTCAGAAACTGTCCTCACTTGAGATAAAAAGCCTAACAGGAGAGAAAAGTTCCAATAAGAGAGAGAAAAAGTGTAGCAGGGAAGGATTCCAAAAACATTAGTCTCAAGTGAGTTGAGTTATTGTTATTATTTATCTGTTGGATCCTTGGATCCTTAACTGAGAAGCACTTGGTGAAGAAATTATTTTTAGAAAAAAGTTTTATTTTTAACATTCACATATGGATATAAAGTTATTTCTGTGTAATTCAGGATTGAAAGGAAATATTTTACAAGGTAGATCTTTTCCTATTACTAAATCAGTCTTATTTTAATGACTGGGTGTGTTTTTTGTTTGTTTGTTTGTTTCCTCCTCTGTTTTATCTTGAAACATCTGTTTCTGGGAGCTGTCTGAGTTCTCCCTGTTAGATGATAGCCTTTTCACAAAAGCCATTTCCTTTGCAAGTACTGACCTGCTTTTACTGCATTGTGACAGCATTTATAACTGCAGTGGCAGAATAAGCCCTTGTTAAGGATGTTTAGAAATTGTATGCTAATATAATGGAAAGCTTAATTACCATATAATTAATAGGTCATGGGCTCTTATTTTTACTCTGATAATCTTGGTGTTAATCTTGGTGATAATCTTGGTTGTCAATGTTAGTTCAATTGTACAAACCAGTGAGGATAAACTATATATTTCCTGTATATGAGGGAGGTTGTCCTAAAAGATAGAACATTTAGTCCAGTTGTAACTATAGTGCAGCAAATGGAGAGTCCTTGTGTGCTGTTTGGTCTGTTCTGTTAGCTTAAGCATGGAGTAATAAAATTGACAGAATATGCTGTATGTTGCAACATTACTATATGAAGTGTCTAAGTGACTACTGAATTTGTCTGATTTAAAGGTTGCTGCAGTTTTTACTGCAGGAGTTAGGAGGAATGGAGTTAAAGGAGTTAAAATTATCTGTTAAAAGGAATTATAATTATCTGTTGATGGTCTCAGGATAGATCAGAAAATAAGCAGGTATTCTCATCACCCATCAGTCACTGATGGAGAACCAAAGGCTTTGGAGTATCTCACTCCAAAGACAGTGTGGTGCGTTTATCTAGGATTTTTGTAAAAGTTTGCAAGTGCATTTTAGGTTGATTGTAGATCCACTAGCATGTCATTACCAGTGGCCGACGCACTGCCTCTCTGGATGTGGTTACTCATTCCTATTTCATGTTTTTCTTTATTTCAGAGAGCTCTTCTAGAGAAGAAGCAGAGGAAGAAACGTCTTGATCCCTTGATGGTACAGCCAAATCCTGAGGCAAAGCCGCGCAGGCCAAGGCCCAAAGGATGCGAGGAGCAGACTCCTTTAGTAGAAACTCCTACCCCATTCCACACTGATGTTATGTTACATGGTAAGTAATCAAGCAAATTGCAATGATGTTCCTCAAAATGCCAGCACATACATTTTATGTCACACGTGGTGACCTACATTGGTGTGACAGTAGTTAAGCAATAAATAAGACTGGTCACACCTTTTTTATGTACACAAGTAAAACTGTATTACTAGTATAGTTGAGAAATATTGAACTGTATAAACAAGTAAAAAACTTACCTTGAATTTTGTGACAGCTGCTTTTCAGTACGCTCTCACTTGTGTTTAGCTAAAAAGAAGTGTAGAAATGGGCTAGGAACTTCTATATTGGCAGGGAGCTACAAATACAGTGAGGGTTTTCTGAAGCAGTAGGATAAAGAAAAGAGAATAGTCTAGTGGTGGCTGCCTTTACTGTCCTTCATAGAATCAATGTACGCTCCATCTCAAGATTGGATATGACTGGATGTGGAAGCCCTACATTGCAGTAGAAATGTCAGGAAGTAGTTTATGAGAGCCAAGATCCTGTCAGGCTATCAAGAAAGTAACAGCAAATAGGTTTAGAGATGCATACTAATGCAGGATGTTATAATACCACTGTTAGATTAATAGGGAATTAATTTGCAGAGTAGAATTTAAACCAATGTTACCTAATTTGAAGATCACATATGATATCCCGTGAGATCCTGTCTTTTAAATGTTTTCCTTGGTTTCAAGATCTTTCACAATCATGAGATGAGGAGGAGAGTGGTGATGTAGCATTTACATGTTTAAAATCAGGTTGGGGAAATCTGAAGAAGGACAGCTTTAAATGGGGAGAGAGGAAGAGAGGAAGTGAAAAGACTGATAGACATTCAAAGTTAGTAAACTTCAGTAGTACTGGAACTACAAGAAAAAATGAAATTTACTACTCCCTCACTAGCGTACCTAGTTCTGAAGTTTCTTCAGCGCAAACAAATGACTCTTGGGAGTCAGACCCAAAGGGGAGAGGAGTCCAGGAAGGCTGGATACTCCTCAAAAAGGAAGTCTTAAAGGCACAGGAGACAGGCTGTCTCTGTGTGCCATAAGATGAGCCAGTGGGGAAGAAGAATGGCATGGCTGAAAAGGGAACTTCTGTTGAACATCCAGGAGAAAAAGAGAGTTTATGTCCAGTAGAAGAAGGGACAGGCAACTCAGGGAGAGTACAAGGAAGTTGTCAGCACATGCAGGGGAAAAAAACAGAAAGGCTAAAGCCCAACATGAGCTCAACCTGGGCACTATGGTAAGATAACAAAATGTTTTTACAAATATGTTAACCATAAGAGGAGGACCAAGGAGAATCTCCATCTTTTACTTGGCACGGTGGGGAACAAGACTACTGAGGATAAGGAAAAGGCAAAGATTCTCAATGCCTTCTTTACATCTGTTTTTTAATAGTCAGATCAGTTATCCTTGGGTTTCTCAGCCTCCCGAACTGGAAGTCTGGGACAGGAAGCAGAATAAACCCCCCACAGTTCAGGTGGAAACAGTTAGAGACCTGCTGCTCCGCCTGGACTGTCACAAGTCCATGGGGCCAGATGGGTTCCACCTGAGGGTGCTGAGGGAGCTGCCAGATGTGATGGCCAAGCTGCTTTCCATCATCTATCAATAGCCTATCAGCAGAGAGGTCCCCGATCACTGGAGACTTGTTAATGTGGACATTAAATTGGGGGCTTGGACAGGTACACTCTTTGCTGGATTAAAAACTGGCTGGATGGATGGGCCAAGAGAGTGGTGGTGAATGGGGTGAAATCCAGATGGCGACCAGTCATCAGTGGTGTTCTCCAGGGGTCAGTGTTGGGGCCCATCCTCTTTAATATCTTCACTGATGATTTGGATGAGAGAATTGAATGCACCCTCAGTGAGTTTGCAGATGACACGAAGTTGGGGGGAAGTGTCGATCTGCCGGAGCATAGGGAGGCCCTGCAGAGGGACCTGGACAGGTTGGATAGATGGCCATAGGCTAACAGGATGAAGTTCAGCATGGCTAAGTGCCAGGTCCTGAACTTTGGTCACAACAACCCTATGCAATGCTACAGGGTTGGAGTAGAGTGGCTGGAAAGCTGTGTGGAGGAAAAGGACCTGGGGGTGCTGGTTGATGCTCAGCTAAACATGGGCCAGCAGTGTGCCCAGGTGGCCAAGAAGTCCAACGGCATCCTGACTTGTATCAGGAATAGTGTAGCCAGCAGGAACAGGGTCCCCCTGTACTCTGCTCTGGTGAGGTCACACCTGAAGTACTTTGTTCAGTTTTGGGCTCCTCACTACAAGAAGGACATCGAGGCCCTGGAGCGTGTCCAGAGAAGGGCTACCAAGCTGGTGAAGGGCCTGGAACACAAGTTCTATGAGGAATGGCCAAGAGAACTGGGGTTATTTAGTCTGTAGAAGAGGAAGCTCAGTTTGTTAAGCTTGTAGCTGTGGATGCTTTTTATCAGATTGATCTGTGTTGTTCACTGTAGAGCACTCACTCAATACAACTTCTTACAAACAAGGAGTTGGAAAGAGTAGTTATCCATAAATAAATTGAAAGGTACCAACGTGCATGACAAATACTGCTCATCTTAATTGCTTGAGTCCTTGAAAAAAAGTATATGCAATGACTTATAAATGGAGAAACTCATGACTGACATGTTTAAAGTGACAGGAGATCTGTACCACAGTCAGGCCTGGCTCCTCCCAGGTCTGACAAAAGTTGAAGTAAATAAGAATACTTCAGTACTTTAAAGGGATGCTTGAGCTAGGGAAGGTGAAAGAGAAACCAACCATCCTGGGAAATGTATTTACCTGTAAAAATGAGGCTTTTGCATTCTCTTTCATTTGGCCTGAAGGTATTGATGGACCAGCTGCTTTCCTGAAATCAGAAGTGCAAGATTTAGGAACCAAGCTCCAAACTCTCTCTGTTGGATCTTCCATAACAGAAGACAATGCAGATGAGGAAAAGGATGGACAGTCTATAACAGAAACATCCGTCAAGCCAGATCTACAAGAAATCTTAGAGAAACGAGGTAAGAGTTGATAATGGGCAGAGGTCTTTTTCAGGACTCTTCTACTTGTAACTTTTTTTTTTTTCAGTAGCATTTAAGAAATCATTAAACAAATGTCTGTAGGATCTTCCTCTTACAAGCAGAGCTAGTAGATTCTACAGCATGTAGAAATGCAGGTCTGCAGTTCCTTTTTCTGTTGTTAATTGGAATATGACAATATGCTTTATAATTTTCTGGCCTTTCTAAAAAAAAATCTGAGATTTTTTTTGGTGACAAAACATTATACTTCACATTTTGCTGAAGTTCGGGGTGTTTTTATTCCAGATATATCTGGATACGATATACAAAATACTTGAGTATTTTTACAATGGCAGAACCTTCTAAAAACAGTAATGTTGTAATTTAACTGTTGAGGAGACTAACAATGATATATAACAATGATATAACACCAAGTAAAAGGAAACACCAAATAGTGATGTGTTCTGATGTAGTCTTCATTCAGAGTTACTTTTGTTATATACCCAGTCATCCCTACATAGCTGTGCTTGGTTTAAGATTAAATAAATAAATACTGGGACAATTCTATTTCCATTCTGAAAATCAAATCATTACTAGTATTTAACAAACCTGAGTTTCTGCTACTGATGTAAGAACAGGAAAGCATCTAGTTGAAGAAGTATCATACTCCATTTCAGTGTGTAAAACTAAGGGGAAATGGTAAAGGATGTAAACTCTGTAGAGTCCAAGCTGCAGGGTAGGTTTCACCCTATTGAGCTGGATTGTCTTTTTTGTTCTTAAAGCACGGAGAGCTTTTCTGCATAAAAATAGGCAAAATTTAATTCAATGGTAGCATATGCTAAACGTGCTATATCATGTAAAATATGCATTAATAAAAGCTTAATCAGCTGCGCACTGTCAGCTGTAAAATGTCACCACTGGTTTGAATTTCAAGGCTCAGGAAACAATATAGCATGAAGAAAATCAGTAGTTGGAAAAACATAAATTAATTGAATAGAGAGAGCAGGATAGTTATGTAAGGGTCTTATGTGAATTAGTGATATCCTGATCTTATGACACCTTCTTTCAAAGGTTACTTACTTGATCCTATGTTCTGACAGGAATTTCAGGCAGTTTGAATTTTGATGAGGAGGACACAGAAGAAGAGGAAGAAGCTAGTAAGAGACCAGCATCTCATTCACCACATCCTGAATCTGAGAGGCCTAGTTCTGCAACCAGTGAGAAATCCTTTGCAGTAGGTGTTTTAAAATCAGTTTCTGATAAGGGCTGGGTACGTGCTTGATTTTGACTTACTAACCATTTTAGCACTGGGTGAAAATACAGTATTTGGAGCTGTCATTAATCCCTGAAGGCAGGGGAAGGACAAGATGATCAGGTTATCTAACAGAAGGCTCCCTGAGTTAAACACAAAGATCTAGTAATGATCAAAGGAACAATGATGGGTGGAGGAACCCAACCCAAGTAACCTAATCAGTGACGAACAGAACACACTGAATCAGCTACCCCTATGATGCTCAAAGGAGAAAGATTGTCTCCAGCTCAAAATCCACTAGTCTGCTTGAAGGATTATAAATTTTAATGTGGGATGCAACAGTGAGCAGAATTTTGCAATGGAACACAAAAAATTCTGGGATTATACAAAATTTATAGGGTGATTAGAGGAAGGGACACAAGGGGGGGGGGAAGCAAGGTGGATCAAGGAGCAACATGCATGGGAAAACAGGAAGTAAAGGGAGGGGATAAAAGTCTGCAGCAATCCTGGATGTAGAGTCATAGAATCATAGAATATCCTGAGTTGGAAGGGACCCATAAGGATCATCAAGTCCAACTCCTGGCACCGCACAGGTCTGTACTTAAGTCTTCGATACTATTCAAGAGACCAACGTGAGTATGCTTGTGAGGTGACTGGGTGTATAATGTGCTGCACTGCCAGTGAGTAATACAAGAGGTCTGGTCACTGGTAACTTGAGTGACTGGGGTATGGGTGCCAATTGCTGGAGATGACTTGTGGGGGTGCCACAAGGGATGGGTGAGAACCACTAGAGAATTTCAAGTGTGCACTTGTATGTGTGTACTCACTCAGACTTTCTACTGTCTGGACCTGGTGAAAGGGGTAAACCATCAACCTCATCTCCTAGGCCTAGTCAAAGAATGCCCTGGGTTCTATAATTTACAGGATTCAGCTACCTCTAAGAAAAATGACTTTAGTAAGTGATACCAGATTCCCACTAGAATTCTAGTTCCTTTGGTGACCATAACTTGCATGCTGGCTGTATGCATTGCTCCAAGGCTCCTCCAGCATTTATTTGGGAAGGTTCCGCTGTCATCTTGCTCTGTTTCTTCTGGTTTTCAGAACCAACATAAGCTTAGTGCTCAATTCAGTTGCAGAAAGCACATTCTGTCTTATTGCAGCATCCATCAGTCCAGTTCATCATGCTGCCTTATTTCCCACAGAGTGTTTGAAGCTCTAAAAGCAGAGAGGCTCTTTGATTAGAATGTTTATGGTATATCAACCTATTTCCCTATTCCTAGTAATTCAGTTTTTCTCTAGTTCATGACTACTTTTTCTCTCCTCCCCTTGGAGGGTTAGACTACTCAGAGTAAATAGTCTTTAGTCACTTTGTTCAGAGAAACACAAGTGTTTTTTTCATTCAGCTTTCCTTTCCCAAATATATTGTAGAGGCATGAGATCTTCTGTTTCAACAGGCCTTTCTTTTCCTGGGGAATACCAGAGCCTCTGATCTGATACTGGTTTGCTAATATGATGGTTCTTTCCACAGGAAACAGGTGCTTCCTGTAGTCCATCCCCTCAGGCAGTTGCACATCTGGGAGAAGTAGAGAACTTGGAGGATTTTGCATTACGCCCTGCACCCCGTGGTATTACAATCAAATGTCGAATCACTAGAGATAAGAAGGGAATGGACCGGGGCCTCTTCCCTACTTATTACATGCATCTGGAAAGGGATGACAACAGAAAGGTATTGGAAGCAGCACACAGTATCTTGGCTTGGCTATTGTACTCCTACCACATAATATTTTTGGTGTAACAGAGAGCAGTGCATAGATCAGTAAGACACCAGAAACCAAGGAGAGACAGCATGTAGATGAGGACAGTTTATATTTGGCCAAGGCACTAAGGAGGATGTTGGCAAGTTTAGAAGCCGTAATACAATGGAAGATGAAATAAAGTATAAAAATGTCAGGGATAAAGAAAAGCAAAGAGATTGGGCTGTTGAGAAGAAACAGAGGAAAAACTAGAAAAGGCAGTTGCATTATATCCAGACTGTTGAGTGAGCTGATTGGAAGAACAGGATTTCAGGCTGTATACTTGTGAAACAGAAAATTATGGAGACAGTAATAACAGTATAGAACAAAAAATGGATGCGTAACAGTTTGGATAGCAGTGCTTCTGCATTCTTTCAAAACACCAGTCTTGATCAAAATTTTGTATTTCCAGACATTCCTTCTTGCGGGGAGAAAACGAAAAAAGAGCAAAACGTCCAATTACCTCATATCAGTTGACCCAACTGATTTATCCCGGGAAGGGGAAAGTTTCATTGGAAAACTCAGGTGAGAACCACAGAAAAAACTATGGACAAAAGTACATCTTCTGCAATAGGAGAGGTAGAATTTACATGTTTATTTGGAGTTAAAAACATCAATTTCATATCAATTCAGAGAATGTATTCACCTGTTCGTGCTTAATGTGATGTGTACCCACCTGGGTTGGCAAGCCTCCTTTAGAGTTACCATTCACAATGATAATTTAGAATTTGGAGGAATTCTGGCTCAGGGCTTTTCCAGTACAGGTTACATGCTTGGTTTACAATGGAACTGAAATTCCTTACTGAGTTGACTGTGGACAAACCCGATGACCAGAGGCATGTATTTTCTCTGTGCTGCACACATGCGTTCAGATGATAAAAAAAAAATAAAAAAATAATCCACTGATGCCTCTTTCTTTTTCTGTCTTTCCATAACCTAACATTAGGTCAAACCTCATGGGAACTAAATTTACGGTCTATGACCATGGAATTAGCCCCATCAAGGCACAAGGCGTATTGGAAAAGGCCCGTACTCGACAGGAGCTTGCAGCTATCTATTATGTAAGTAGTGCCTCTTCCCTTTTATGCCCTTCTTCTTTTTTGTAGCTTGATTACTAAGGAAATGGGACTCACAAAATCATGCTGCCTACATCTTCCCTCATTTAACTTTTGAACTAACTAACCAATTTCAGCCAGATATGATAAGGGGTAGGGGCCTCAAATATAGGTTTTTACAAGTTTAATGGGAAAGAAGTCAGAGGAGAGAGATCCAAGCTAATGTTCTGATGAACTTGTCACCTGACCCAACATTAGGCATGTTCCCAGTCAGCATATCCTTGATTCAGAGCCAGCCATCTTATGAACTGCCCAGCCGGTAGACACTACAAAGGAACTGGAAATGTCTCGTGAAGTAGAGCTATTTTTAGCAGAACTAAAAGTATTTTGGTAAATAGAAGTGAGCTGGTATTATTTCAGTAGTAGCATGTTGTTAGTAAGGGCACATTTCCAGGGGAAGCTATTCCCTGTCACTGTCTCTCCTCCTAGAGACAGAGGATCTTGGTCTTGTGGGTCATCTCAGTCTAAGGCATAGAAACAATGTACTTGTAGCTACATCACTGTAGAATTCTGTGAAATTTTTCAAAACACTTTGTTTCATATTCCAGTCCTGAGGTTTGAGGAAAATTTAAGATACTTTACAAAATAAAAGCCAGTCAAGTGGATAAATTCTTCTTTTATCACAGGTAGAGTAGTAGAAATTTAACAGTGCATAAGCCTACTGGAATTTGATTTTTTTCTCCCTGTTAATTTTAATGCCACATAGGGAGAAAAAAATGTCTTGATAATTCCAGTACTAGCCTGCTTACAGAAACATCAGTGGATCTTTGTATACAGTATTACTCATTTCATAGAACATCTTGGGTTGGACCTTAAAGGGACCATAGGCAGGGATGCCACCCACTAGATCAGATTGCCCAGGGTCCCATCCAACCTGACCTTGAACACCTCCAGAGATGGGGCAAACACCTTCTCTGGACAACATGTTCCAGTGCCTTACCAGCTTCTGAGTAAAGAATTCCCTTCTAACATCTAACCTAAATCTCTCCTCTTTTAGTTTAAAGCTGTTCCCCCTTGTCATTGTCACCTGCCCTTGTAAAAAGTTTCTCTCCAAACTGTTTCCCTATTTAACTCAACAGAGCAGGGTGTTAAAATGAGTACAGCAGAAGATATAAAGTCAATTTCTCAGATTTTGTACTGTTTCATATAGGTGAAATTAGTGAAATTTATACATGAATAAAATCAGTACTCTTGTTCTCATATGTGCTCATAGGTTTTCTGAAATGAAATAATAGAGATTGCAGCTCTGAAGACCTTCATTCTGTGTCTGTGAAAATGCTCTAGCACATTAGAAGTTGTATCACTTCTGTTAGCTCAGTGATTCTAAAAGATTCTGGCTTTTTAATTGGCATTTGGAAGCTTTAAAGGTATCATTGACATTGTTACAAAACACTTTAAATAAAACACTTTAAACTGAGCATTGGATTTTGGTTGACACTATTAAGTGAATGGTTTGAGAATACCAGGAAAGACCTTTTTCCTTTGCTTTTTATACTCAGTCTACTTGGAGCAGTCTCTTGCAGTACTCTGGAAAAGTCTGCTTGTCTAAAGACTGAAGCTTGGATGAACTGCCCCTTTAGGACAAGGGGCAATGGGTGCAAGCTGGAACATAGGAGGTTCCGCTTAAATATGAGACAAAACTTTTTTATAGTGAGAGTGACAGAACACTGAAACAGGCTGACCAGGGAAGTTGTGGAGTCTCCTTCTCTGGAGACTTTCAAAACCCGCCAGGATGCATTCCTGTGTGATGTGATTTAGGTGTTCCTGTTCCAGCAGGGGGATTGGACTAGATGACCTTTCAAGGTCCCTTCCATTCCTTAATATTCTGTGATGCTGACTACTTTGCCTTCCAGGTCTGTTCTTAATCATTTATAAAAAAGTACAATTTGACAGCAAATAGTAGGTATGCTCTTAAACACAAGAAAAATGCCATTCATTCTTTAGGAACAATCTAGCCTAAATGGTGATATCTATATATCATTGTCTCAGATCAAAGATCTGTATACTTTATTATACTTAACTCTTGCTCACTAGCAAGATTTTAGCATGCTTTTGCCTTGGATGTAGAAATTTATGCCTGGAAATTGCACTGGTCTAATTTCAATGTTGATGTTTCATTAAGACAATGCAGATGTACTACAAATTAGGTAGTGCTCTGTATGTCTTGAGACAGTTCTCTAAATGGAAGAAGAGAGCTATTTCAGTGATTAAACACATTTGGAGTTAGATGACTGCTAGCACAGTTACAGCTAGCAAATCTCCAAAAACCAACACAAATGTGGATTCAAGTTCAGCTTTTCCGTCTGTCTTTCTGTGAGACAGAGTATCTCCATTCCTGAAAATAATGTCTTTTACTTGTATTTCAGGAAACCAATGTATTAGGATTCAAGGGTCCCAGAAAAATGTCTGTGATCATTCCAGGAATGAACATGAATCATAAGCGAATTCCAATCCAGCCACAAAATGTGAGTTACGAAGTTGGGTCATGGTTCAGATTGGAGGAAGAGGTTAAAACTTTCTCCTAGAGGTGTGGGTGTTGGTGACAATAGTGGTCATTACAGCAGGGTTGTCCATGGCTGTTAATGAGTTTCTTAGACAGTAACAGTGTAGTCTAACGGTGTTAATTAATTTATTCTTGACTTTCACCCCATTTGTAGCCTTTTGAATACTGTTTGTATTCTTACTTGTCTTGTAGTTAGCCTAAATGCTATTTACTGTTGCAGTGGCTACTGTATCTTGTTGCACCTATAACTCCTCATTGATAGGACTCTGTTACACTGAGAGTTACATGAACACAGAACAAACTCTCATCTCCCAAAAGCCTTCATTTTAAGCGAGTAGGGGATTTACAACAGATGGATAATAAATGGATAGGGCAGTGTTTTGGTGTAGTAGCAAGAGAGTAAGCACATTTTTTATCAGAATGGTGACAGCATCTTTGTAGAAATCCCAGGAAAGTGAGGATTCTTTAGGGAGAAAGTGGGATGAGAAGGATGTAGTTGTGGGTATTTAATGAGGATTTCTCATATGAGGATTTCTCAGATGCATTTCTTCCTGGCGAGCAACTTACAGATGTGTATATGAAGGTATAGTAAGGAGTATGATGAAGATGCCTTCTGGCATCCCTAAATGTGGGTGTTACGTTTGGTGTGATAGGAGACCAGTGGCAGAAAAGACAGATGCCAACTAATTCACCCGATCAGTGTTATAAGCTAGAAAATGGCATCTGCAGCTATGTTGTGTGTGGATATAAGTAGAACAACAGAATATTTTTGATGACAGAGAAGAGTGACCTTCAAGAGTGGAAATTTAGACTTATGAGAACCTGAAAAACATATTTAATTATGTGGGCAGGAAAATTATATCTGGACGTGGTCATTGATTCTTCATGTTTCGGTGTTCCCATATTCTTCAGTAAAAGTTTAATGATTCTTCTTGCATTTTTCTAACATTTTCCATACCCCTTTGCTAGCAGGCAAGCATAATGACAGCCAAGTCTGAAAGACAAAGCAATTCAAAAAAGTTGTCAAATCCCTCGGGGTATTGACTGTTTTTATCTTCCTTCTCTGTAGTGTGATGCCTCTGATTGAGCAATACCGCCCCCACTTTACAGAAACAAAAATTGCATCAAAATTCAGCTTGTTAGTGCCAGTTTTTAAAGTTTATCTTTATTTACTTTTATAAAGGTACAAATCAAGATACAACTTAAACTGAACAACAAATTTTAGTGTAAGGAAAATAGAGAATTTTTGAGAATAACCTATTTTTCTATCCATATACAATACTAAAATATTTAGTCGTATTAGCCAGACCTCCACAAAAAGTGGTTTTCTGTTTGCTTCCATTCTAACTGAACTCCCATTAAATATGGGACTCTCTTTCTTGTAAGCTTTAGCTTATATTATGTAATTTGGGGTTTTATTTATCACATAACTTTTAAAATTAAATTGTATGCCATGTGTTCCACGCACTATTTCCAGTTCCTTGTAATTAATTCTTTCTCAAATTTAATGTGCTGCTTTGCTTCTCCTTTTTGTATATTTCTTTTATTTGTCTGTGTATTTGTCATATTGTGCACCTCTTATTTGATCCGTTAGGATGACATTTAATCTACTTATGGCATACTTGCCACCTGCTGCAGCCTTTTGACTTTATACTGAAATACCCCAGGGCATATGCAGTTTACACTATGTAGTTAATTGTAGATGTTTTTTGTTCATTTCAAAGTTTAGAATTTTGGAAATGGAAGTTGGATCCAACAGGATCAGAGAAAGCTTGTAAGTCTCACAAAGGAGATTTTTAACAGCACTTTGATGGTCATCTGTGATCTGTGAATTGCTGTCTTTCCTGTGCATGCACACACTTTTTCTATCACTCTTTTTTTTCGTGTTTGGGTGGAGATATGGCAATAACTTCTTGAGTGGAAAGGAATGGTTGGATTAGGAAACCATTAAGGTATTTTCCTGGTACCTGCAGGATATTTTCAGTAGGACTGAGTTTAAATGCTGTCATTGTGTGTCATTTAACAGGGAATGACACTGAATCACACACAGTGTGCACATGGGAGAGAGGCAGTACTCAAAAACAGAGCCATTCTGAATCTGATAAATATATTTTTTTCTTCTAAACAGGAAAATGAGAGTCTTCTGTCAAAATGGCAAAACAAAAATTTAGAGAACCTCATTGAGTTGCACAACAAGGCTCCAGTCTGGAATGATGATACTCAGTCCTACGTTTTGAACTTCCATGGGAGAGTCACTCAGGCTTCAGTGAAGAACTTCCAGATTGTCCATGACAATGACCGTAAGAGTCTGGTGGAGAATTGGGGGTGGGGTGTCATTCAAACAGGGAAAGCACAATATATTTCAAGAGGTTTTGGAGGAGTAGGACACTCTTCCTGGAGAAGGGAGACTGGATGAAAGAAGACAGCTCACGATGACTGAGGACGTCTCAGCTGTCAAGAAAATTATAAAAGACCTAACTTTTTCTGGGATGGGTGCAGAGGCTGTTGTCCAGCAAAAGAGGGAACAAATGCAAGCCTCCTGCAGGGGAAGAAAAGTTAATGTGACACCTTCAACCCAGCAAAAAAATGGTGTGGGCCTTGGTTCTTGGTAATCTCTGGAATACCACAGTCACCCCAGAGAAAAGATTTTAAGTCCAGTTTGGTGACAAAGGATGGATACGGTGACCACTTATATTTGGGACTGCCAGATACTTCTGAACTTTTGTTCATTTGTTTGTTTTCTTTGCTTCCCTGTGAAATTGCTGGTCTCTGAATCTTTTTTTTCCTCCCCAGCTGACTACATTGTGATGCAGTTCGGTCGTGTAGCAGAAGATGTGTTCACTCTGGACTATAATTATCCTCTCTGTGCTCTTCAGGCTTTTGCTATTGGACTCTCCAGCTTTGATAGCAAATTGGCCTGTGAATGAGAGACTACAGACTTGAGACGTGGAACTGACTCCCATCCCTGCATCTTGTTACAAGAGTTTAGGTGGAGCAATGAAAAGCACATCAGGGATGGAAAGGAACTGGAGGACAAACTTCTGCAGGCTTATTTGAAAGCGAATAGTAGGCTGGAGAGCATTATGGTGGTTTACAGTAGATCTTCTTAGGAGACTGTCCCAAGACTGAGCAGTCTCTGTACTCATTGTGGAAGAACAAGGAATATTGGTGATGTTTTTATTGTCAGAATTGATTCTGCTTTCAGAATCCTTGTAACACATGCTGCTGCCTGAACAGGCTAAGGAAGTTAACCCACTAATTGAAACACATTGCAGCTTGGACTGGAAAAATAATAGTTTAGTGTCCATATACCTTGGATCTTAAGCAGTGCCCCTGAAGATGATGCTACCAATATTCATTTGAGTTCCTGATCAGATTAATTCAGAAAAAAAAAATAGAAGGGTGGTTATAGTATGTGTTCTCTCTTGCCCTGTGTAGCATTTTGCTGTCTGTAAAAACACTGAGAGAGAGAAGGGTTGAGGTTAAGCTTCTGTGCAACTGTAGGTAGTGTTCAACAAGTACAAGCTGAAATGAGACATTGTCTGTAGTAAAAACACCTCCTTCTCTGTGGAATGATTCTCTGCTAAGTCTGATAGTCCAGCTCCTTTTCATTATTCTAATTTTCAATGCTGGGTTCTAGAGTATGGAGACAGTAGATCACAGCATGGGACACTTCTTGATTCATATGGCCTTGATTCATCAGAGTCAATTGCTGCACACTGACACATAAGCCTCATAGTGCACACATCTGTTGTGTGCTAAGGTAGAGAACAGCTACTATCTTGCCAGTTTCATGGCCATTGTGCATATCCATGATGAAACTGGAAAACTGTATCCTTCTAATAAGACAAGAATCAGCGTTTAGCAGTTTTGTATACTGTCAGCAGACAAGTTCTGTTTCATGCTCCTGAAAAACAGACTTACTGTTTTTGTTCTCCAGAGTCTTTGCAGTGGTAAATATCACTTGCTCTTTCAAAATAATATCAGAAAATATCTTCACAGAGTTTCATGGCCAGGAAAAAAAAAAAAAAGATGGTAATCATGTGTAAACTTTGTTTTTAATTGTAAATTTTGAACTGTTGCTGAGGGCACCAGCTCTAGAAAATGCTGGAAGCCAAGTCCCAGATGCCCATTCTGTATTAGCTTGAGAGCCATTGTCTTGAGAGTGATCTCATCAGCACAGCAGTCAGTGAAGAGAACTTGAATCATGGATCTATTTTGTGCCTTCATGTACTTCCTGCTCATTATGCTGGAGTTAAGACCTGACAGAGTTTTCCAGTTGTTCTCCACTGAGTTCTTGGCTGAAGGCTCTGCCCTCCACCCATCCAGAAATACTAAAAAAAAGAAAAAAAGTCAGTTCATAATCTGATTATTATTTTTCTGTCTAGGACTGTGTAAATAAACTATGTTAACTTGGGGTGTCCTGAAGCTACGATGATAATTTCCAATTTAAGTTGATTTTTCTCTGTTCTCAGAAGGCCACAGTAGCATTGCTTTACTCACCCTTTCAGCTAAGCTGGACAGCAGTGGCTCTTCAAGCTATCTGTTGATGACAAATCATCTTCACAGGGTCAGAGCCTCCGTGTCTTGGTCACATTTATGTAGATATATGAACCGCTTCAGAGCTCTTTTATCAAATACTGTTTTACATTAATTGTATTTATAACTTTTATATCTAAATGAAAATAAACTAATTTATATATTGAAAAACTCCATAATTCTAATTTTTTTTTCTAGGATTTTATTGTCACTTATGGGTGTTCTTTGTTCCTCCTGTACTAGATGCTACCTCAATTTCTTCCTGTCTTTTCATATCTCATCTCTCCTCTCCCTGTCCTCTTTTCCTTTGTAATTCTCAATTCTATTCCTTTGTGTTGTTTTCCTTATACACTAAGAAGGCTGGGAGTGAATGTAAGCTTAGTCTCTCTAATGCCTTTTTTTTCCATCAGGAACTTCCAGTAAGACTTCCGTTACAGTTCATGGTTCCTGTTTGGTTCTCTTTTCAAGCTGCTTGCACTTCTCTGCCCCATGTTTATAATTATTATCCCAGCCTCAAGTTACGGCTTTTGAGATGGTTCCTTAGGCATTTTCCTACCTTCCATCGGAACCTTTTCTACTGTTGAAGTACAATATAGTGTACTTCTGAATCAGCAGCTGAAATAATACAGGGCTCAAGGGAAAATCAAGTTTAAGTGGTTATTTTTATTTCCACTGGCAGATGTATGAACCTCAGTAAAGGGAGATACAATGGATCTGGTAATCAAAAAGCTGACACAGCTCTCAACGTGTAGGGCGTGTTCTTCATGCTGGCTGCATACCACCTTTTTTTTTTTTCCTACTATTTTCTTCTGAGTGAAATTAGATCTAGTTGAGAGATAAAACTGAGCAAGTTCTAGTAAGCAGTTTCTCTTGTACACAATTAGTTGTCGCTCACTTACCTTTGCATGTAAATGTAATGTTCATGAAATCCCAAGATCTTAAACAAGGATGGAAGCATGTTATATTGTTAAATATGAATCCTAAAGGCAGGCCTGGTAGACTAACAGCTCCTTGGCTCACAGACATTAAAGAGTGAATAATGTCTTGCCCTCTTGTGGCTCAGACCTACTTTCATTGAAGCTTTGCTGCTGAACTTGGTAGCAGCAGAATCACAGAATCACAGAATTTCTAGGTTGGAAGAGACCTCAAGATCATCGAGTCCAACCTCTAACCTAACACGAACAGTCCCCACTAAACCATATCCCTAAGCTCTACATCTAAACGTCTTTTGAAGACTTCCAGGGATGGTGACTCCACCACCTCCCTGGGCAGCCTGTTCCAATGCCTCACAACCCTTTCAGTAAAGAAGCTCTTCCTAACATCTAACCTAAAACTCCCCTGGCGCAACTTTAGCCCGTTCCCCCTCGTCCTGTCACCAGGCACGTGGGAGAACAGGCCAACCCCCACCTCTCTACAGCCTCCTTTAAGGTATCTGTAGAGAGCGATAAGGTCGCCCCTGAGCCTCCTCTTCTCCAGGCTGAACAAGCCCAGCTCCCTCAGCCGCTCCTCGTAGGACTTGTTCTCCAGGCCCCTCACCAGCTTCGTCGCCCTTCTTTGGACCCGCTCAAGCACCTCAATTTCCTTCTTGTAGCGAGGGGCCCAAAACTGAACACAGTACTCGAGGTGCGGCCTCACCAGAGCCGAGTACAGGGGGACGATCACCTCCCTAGCCCTGCTGGTCACACTGTTTCTGATACAAGCCAGGATGCCGTTGGCCTTCTTGGCCACCTGAGCACACTGCTGGCTCATATTCAGCCGACTGTCCACCATCACTCCCAGGTCCTTCTCTGCCTGGCAGCTCTCCAACCACTCATCTCCCAGCCTGTAGCTCTGAAAGATGCTACAGATGCAGATGCAGAGGATCTTTCTTTGTTTTGTTTTTTGTTAGTGTCAGCAAAATAATGCATTATACTGTACTTAGTATAGTGTCACAGTCTACTTTCTGGTATTAACAGCTCTGTAAATCTCTCAGTTGTTGTAGAGTCTGTAGAATAGAATCATGGAATCATTTGTGTTAGAAAAGACCTCTAAAAATCAAGTTGAGCCATTAACCTACCACTGCCAAGTCTTCTGCTAAACTATGTCACTAAACACCACTATACATCTTTGAAATACCTCCAGGGATGGTGACTCAAGTACTTCCCTGGGTGACCTACTCCAATGCTTCACAATCCTTTCAGAGAAGACTTTTTTTTTTCCTATGTCCAACCTAAACCTCCCCTGCGCAACTTGAGGCTATTTCTTCCTGTCCTGTTGCTTGTAAGAAGAGACGACCCTCACCTCAGTACAACTTCCTTTAAGGTAGATGTGAGCAATAAAGTCTCTCCCCCGAGCCTCCTTTTCTCTAGGCTAAATAACCCTAGTTTACATTAGCCACTCCTCATAGGACTTGTTCTCCAGACCTCTCACTAGCTTCATTGCCCTTCCTTTGACATGCTCCAGCACCTCGATGTCTTTCTTGTAGTGAGGGGCCCAAAACTGAACACAGCACTCGAGGTGCGGCCTCACCAGAGCAGAGTATGGGGGGACAATCATTTTCCTGGTCCTGCTGGCTAGACTGTTATACAAGCCAGAATGCTGTTTTTCTTAGCTGCCTGGGCACACTGCTGGCTCATATCCAGCCAGCTGTCTACCAACACCCTCAGGTCCTTTTCTGTCAAGCAGCTTTCCAGACACTCTTCCCCAAGACCTGCAGAACTGCGTATGGCTGTGACCTAAGTGCAGGGCCCAGTGATTGAATTAGGTTTTCCTGTCCCTGTTACAGAAGACAAGCAAAATCTTCCCCATGGTTTACAGGTCAAGATCTGGGAGTTTGTGCAAAATCCTGTGAAACTAAATTATGGACAGACTCCTTCTTTGACAGAGACAAGAATTTCATCTTCTCTGCTATAATGTCAAACTTGTAAGTAGTTGCAGTGCTGAACTATTACAGCTGAAATCCAGAACTAAGAAAGAAACTGAAGTATTCTAGGGCCAAGTGATTGTCCCACTATATAATAATGAAGATCAATAAGAGCAACTGTGGTGTGAGAGCTTCCTTACTAACAGGGAAGAGTCTGCTACAACTATGAAGTGGTAAGAATCAAAAACCCTGCCATGAAAGATCCCTTTACTCACTCTTACTCTTGTATCTTTTGAACTGTACAGTCTTGCTTCATTGAATTGAGTCCATTATTAAAGAAAAAATAATACTATTTTATTGTGAAAAGTGACTATTTTAAAAGCTGCATATCAAAATCATTCAGACAAACAGTGAAGGGTTGGGGAATTAGGTCTGATCAAGTTGTCCAGCTCCCTCTGCTTTCTGTTCTAGGCAGAATAGTTTGCTTCCACATTACCACCAGTAACAAAACGTAACAAAACAAAAAAATACTCTCTTCTCCTGAGTGAGTTCCCATATGTGATTGACTGGAGGCCTGCAAACAATTTGTGTGATGATTCACAGGAAGGAATAGGCTTCAATTCTTTCTCTTTGAGCTGTGTTGATTCGGCAGGGAAATGTGAGCGAAACTGTATGCTGGTCACATAATTGTGAGACCAGGCCTAGAAATCATAGTCAGATGTTATGAGAAATAGCTGCCTTTAATATAAAAAAAAGTTTTTCATAAAATTACATGTTTTAAAATATGGTTTAATAGAAACAGTGGCTAAATGTGGTAATTACAGGGCTTTATGTAACAACAACAAAATAATAATTTCATTAAATGTTATATTTTTGTCTTGTACCGTATATACTTTTGATTCCTACAGTTTTGTGAGAAAGCTTTTTCCTTATGTATTCATAAAATAAAACGCTTATTGCATTTTGCTACAAAGAAAAGCAATTATAAGAGTACTAGAAAACATTTCTGGTATCAGTTAACTTCATCACTGCTAAACTTAAAAACAAAACAAAAAAATCAATTTAAATTAAGTGGATCTTGCCTTCTAAATCACAAGAATACATTTTTGAAGGTGTTTTTTGCACCTGGTTTCTGATGCTCTAAGATGTATTTAGGTCCTGTTATCAGTCTTTTCTCTGCAACAGAGAGTTATGAACTTCTTCCTGTTCTTCCAAAAGCTTAACATATTTCTTTCTGCATTTCTTCAATATATTGAAGTTTTAAACAAAGCCAACTTTATCATAATTCTTTCACGGGTAGCTATGTATACACGAGGCATCTGTGACAAAGTCACTTGCTGAAGACATGAAAAAGTTTGATTATTTTGCTAATGTAGCTGCACTGCCCAGAGCCCCTAATAGTTACATTTACTAGACTTGCTGTTTTACCAGGATGATCTGCTTGTTTTGGAAATGTGCCTTTCCAACCCAAGTTCAGCAATCAGCCTCCTTGTATCATCATCTTCTAGTGCTGGTCAAAATTTTCTAGTATATGTATACCTTTGAAAAGAGATGATTTCTGCTACTTTAGATGTTTCTGCAGTGGTTAAACTATGCAGTATGTGCACACTTAAACAATGTAATAGGCTTATATCAATTTGCTTCTTTTTTAAGCCATTATTGTTACTTGCCTGGTATTTCTTTGGCCCGGACCCCTTGTGCTATGTGGCACAAAATGCTGGATCCTCACTCAAAATTTTCTAAATAGGTTTAGGACAACAGATAGCAGAGGCAGACAAGCAGGGACGTTATCAGGAAAGAGTGGGGCAATGCTGATTATTATGATACTCTGCATTTTAGCACAATAGCCTAAAGATAAAGTTTTCTCTGGGTCTCATGATATGCAAAACAGATTTTAAAGCTGGGGAGATTTTTGTGCAAATAAATAATTTTCATTTAAATGAAATAAATAAGTGTTTCATCCAAATAATTAGAACTAAAAGGGGGTTAAATGTACACGGGCAGAGAAAAGTGTTCTCAGGCTTACAGTGCTCCAAACAGAAATAGCTGAATTCCCTTGGCATGTTTTTGACCATGGTCCTGCTTTCTCAGGTGGTCGATTTCCAAATGTAACAACAGGAAAGGAGAAAGAAGGGAAATGGAAATCAAACAGGACCACTGTGGGACAGGAGCACAGTGGGAGACTGATCACTGATCAGAAGAGACCACCGAGAAAGAAACATGTTAAAAGACCCCGAAGGACCCTTAGGACTTAACGGTGAAGATGTTCTGTTATTTGTTGCTATGAGGAAGAGCCAGGCAGTGCCAACAAAGCATGGAGATGCATGGAAAA